CAGTTCATTAAAAGGGACAATGGAGCACCCGAACGTGAGAACCACTGCTCTAGAGGATAAGTTCATGAATGCTCAGACTATGTGTGAATGTTGATCACTCAATCAACGATGAAAATATGTTCAAGGTTGGTGCAGTTATTGTGATACGTCCACCACTGTCACTGCTTGGTGCGTCTGCGGCAATTATCATCGCATCATTTATATTCTATTACTCAATGAGTCGTTACGGTCACCATATGGCAAATCATCAACTTGATTCGCAGAAGAATAAAACTGTCTCTGTGGCTTGTATCTCCTAGGGTAAACAAATTCTTTTGTTTGCTAATTTCATTCGAGTTTAGTCAACTATTCACCTCCGAAGCAATGTTCGTCATAACTTAATGCATAAAATTTGATGTCATTTTTCGGTCGGTCGAGGGTGTGATCACATGAGTTTGATGTGGCAGCGTATGATTAACCCTCGCACGACTGAAATTTTTTTGTTGCATCCGAGACAAAGTGGACTTCTCAGGCTCGGCACTATCGATTTGACTATTTGCTTGTAATAGAATTTTTAATGGAATTTTTACACTTTCTAATGCTTGTAAATGATACTGCATTGCTATGAATGAAAATAAATGAAAACATCATTCAGTCATCAAGCTTTCATGTGTCCAGACATCGCAAAACAACAACAACACAATCTTCAAAGTCAGAATATTAGAAATGATCATGCAATTCAATTACTGATGTTACACTGTCATTAATATTTCAATCAAATTGTGTACTAGCAGTTTTTTCTGAGAGACTTAAACGGCCTTGTATGGAAACTCTGGTGTAATATAAAGCATTTACTGGACAAATCTCACTCATATCCAATGATACGGGATTACAAAAGGGCTATTTTTTAAAACTTCACGCCGACTGTTGACTATATGCACAGATTCAGAAGCGCTGACTGAATACTATTGAAGACTTCGACATGAAGCATGACCCAAGGCTGCCGGAGGGAAATGCAGAAGGTTTTTTTCGAAGTTACATGCTCTCCACAGAAGAAGAAAATTGAACATAAGTCAGAGACAGCAACCTTTTCTGTGCATATTACTAATTTTCAAACAGTGATGCTCACTCTAGCCTGCTGATCATCGTGGGATTTACGCTAACATGCATTACACGTCATACCATCTACTCGCTTCGCCATCCCTATCCTATGCTGTACTGAGGTGAGTAAACAACATTGTACAAAGTTTTGATTTCTAATCAGCTATTTGACATTGTACCGTTGAAACTGTTTCATCAAAAGGAAGTTCCGATTTGGAACTTTTGCTTTTGCTGGAAATTAGAGCAGAAGGATATATCAGGGACGATGTCTGATTGCTTCTGTAAGAAGCCCTTCCTTGATATCATAATCAGACTGAATCAAGAAAAGATGCACTTGAAAGGCGTTCTACCAATAAGATACTTGAAAACAACTGTAAGAAAACTGCTGAATGAATAATATAAAGTATCCCTGCATGCATACATCGAAACGATCGAGAACATCCGAATAAAATACCACAGAATATGATTTTTAAGGTGTGAATAAAAAGTATGAGAACACCGTATAGGGGCAAATATGTTCCAATGCACTATGTCGATGCTTGATCAGGGCTGTGTTGATAGAATGTACGTGAATGAGCGACTTTGCGTTTGTCATTGATATAGCTTTATGAAAATAGCCATATCTCCTCAAGAAAACGGAATTGCTCAACCAAATATATGTTTTTAGGAATGTAGAAGTTCCGCTGGATCGAATGGTGTACACAAGGTCATATGTTACTGGGCAAAGCTGAGAGTACGGTAGGCTTCAAGGTGGCAACCCCTACAGCATTGAGAAAATAGGTGTATCTCCTCATGAAAGCAAATTGATACATACTTTTAGCAAATTGCCTCGACATGATATATATATTTCTGAATCTAGAGGTTATGCGGGGTCGAATAATGTGCAGAAATTGATATATTGCTAAGCTATTCTGAGAGTACCGGTAGCTTAAAATGGTAACCCTTATAGTGTTAGAGTAATGTACGTATCAGTCTATCGTGATACATTACGGTAACCATCCTCAAATGATCGGTGTTCTCAAATTTGCGCAATAACGCGA